TAAAAATCTAGAGAAATGTATTTCTTGCACTCATAAGTATGAAACATTAAACAACAAGAATGGATTGTACACCTATCTGAGAAATTAAAGCAATTACACTACAACTAAGCTAATGACATAAAAATTAAGCTAATTAAACTAAAGATGTGGCACAATCCATCAAGAAATAAGTATGAACCATCAAATAAACCACAAGAGTAATCAATTAAGCACCATGCCTTGACCATCACTAGATTAACAACATCAACACACATAGACGTGCATCAATTTCATTAAATCTAGAGAAAAATACATGAACATTCATTCTAGCATACATAGACATATGGATAGAATTAAATGATCGATTGAAAGCATAAATCCATACAAATCATGTAAAAATCACAAGATCTATATTTATTTATGGTCAAAACATCAATTATAACTAAAATCCCCAAAAATATACAAAGTTTAGGTTTAAGAAGCAAGCCTAGGGGCTATCTCTAGCCCCAAGAGAAGGATTTAGCCACTCATTGTAGTGGCCATGGAACCCTCAAGGGTTAACTTGGAGGTTGGCTTCATCATTTTCATCCTTGCTTTCTTCACAAACCCTAGTTCTAGAGAGAGAAACTATTTCTATAATTGGTAAAATATCTACTTGTGGAACCTCTAAAACAATTTGGTTCAATTAATCTATTACAAGCCTCTTTGTGTAGGCAACAAGTCAGAAATATTACCTCTGATTGGTGAAAATTCGCAGCTATAAAAAAGTAGGTCGAGTCTGGGTGCGCTCGAGAGTTAAACAGCACACTGCCAGCAGTCATTTTAATCGATTGAAGGATTTTTGATCGATCCAACACTTAATTTGATCGATCAAAGATGACGTGTCATGAAAATATCTTCTTGGCCTTATCTGGATTGCTGAGCTGGCACCGCCTTAATTTCGATCGATTGTAGCCTTCTTCGATCGATCGGGACTTCCTTCAATCGATTGAAGATCCACTAATGCAATTTTCTTGACTTCTTTCTAGATTTGCTTATTAGCTCCAAAATTGAGCTAAATGGCTCTTCTTAGCCTCTTTGAACTTTATTGACCTGAAATAGGCAAAAACACAAATAAGTACTAAAATATGAAAGTAAGATAGATGAATGGACTAAAATACCTTAGCTTAGGTGCTAAAATGCATCACATTTAAGCATTTATCATCTCCTGTTAGGCACTAAATATTATACATTTTAGCTCTGTAACTTGCATGTTTTATTCTCGAAGTAGTAGTTTTATTTGTGATTTTACATTATTTTATTTTATTTTTTTTTATATTTATGTCAGGGCTTTAATTGTAATATCAGTCAAGACAAGTGATTTCGGGCTTTCTAAGATGATATCCAAGAGGCTTGAAGACCACATCCATTGGATGGAGCAATAATAAAGATTCGAATCTAATTAGACTTAGAAAAGAGTCCAAGAGAAGCCACAAGCTGATGAGAATGGAAATAAAAAGAAAAGGAATAATCCATCTCCAACTAGGGAACTTTTTCCAAAATTGGTAACTTGAACCCATTTTGGTATTCTGTCTGTATGTCTTTCCTCAAGTGTCAAAATAGCTCAATTCCCCTAGTAATTGAAAGGAATTTCGAACATCTACAAATTTGTATTTCACGAAGATTTCATGAGACAGCTGTTTACCTTGTCAAAACTGGGCTGGAAGTCTATACGATTTTTGGAGTCATTGTTTGGCAGAATTTCCATATATGTCTTCTATGTGGAAAAGGGAACTTTGGGGACTATTCTTCTCTTATTTAAAGAGAGTTCTCTACACCATTGGGAGGAGCTTGAGGCTAAGATCAAATAAGGAGCATATATAAGATAGAAGGGATTGATCTATGGCGGCGAGTATGTCTTCCTCAACCATAATGAAGTCCATCCCAATAAACGACTAAAAGCTTTGCTAGGGTTGTGATGTATCCCTAGCTTAGCACCACTGGTTTGATTGTATTTATTTATTGGAGATCAATATTATTCATGCATAATTGTGTAACCTAGAGGATTTTTACTTGACTTTTCAATAGAAATCGGTTTTATAGTTTTAATTCAATTATAGAGTATTTTCTATCTTGTCTTAGATATTTAATTCTTATGATTGAATACAATGATGCAACCCAAGCGTGTGCACAAAATGATGCACAACACTTTGAGTTTTGAAATTAGTGTCAAGTGGGCATCATACTTTAAATTTATAAACCGCTTAACACTTATACTATGTAGTATGAGTGAGAAGGGATCGTCCCAAGAGATTATACATGTTGGAATTTAATTTCGACTCTAGCGTATCGATTGATTGCAAGGAAGGGTTGGGTTGGTTGATTACACTAAGATGCAATTAATTAAAATGCAAGTAAAGTAAACTAATGAGAGATAGGAATTTAAGAGATATGAAGAGAGGTCTTAGGGTGTTGAAATCACCACTAAGCTCATGTAATTAATTACTTGCTTTCCATTGATGGTGAATACATTGTTGCAATCTAGATGTGGCTACAAACATAAACACAATTTGCATGTAAAAGTGTGAACTATCTAATGCAAGTGAATTGTCTACCTAACCAATAAGTAAACTAAGTGTAGAACAACCCACCAAGACAAAGGCATAATCCATCAATTAGTTAACAAATGTATCTAATGAAAGGTCACATCAATCTAGAGAATCTTGGAATTTGTAATAATAAGTGTGGACTATCAAACCAAGCATAGATTGTCTACTTACCTACAAATATGAATTAAATTATAAAACAACCCATCAAGTGTAAGCATAATCCATCAAATTAATTTGCAAACTCATTCAATGAAAACATGCTTAGCTATCACTAAATCCTTAATTAATCACACATAGACATGCAACTAACATAGAGAATCTAGTGTAGAGATTAATCTCCAAATAATCACACATAGGACAACATATAATTAAAATAGAGAATCACTAAGAAAAATTAAATCAACAATCACAAGGCTAACTACTAATCACAACAATATATATAAATCCCCAAAAATATAAATACAAGGGTTTAGATTACACAAGACTTAGGGCTCATCCAAGCCATAAGTGAAGAGCCTAGCCAATCATGGAGGAGGTGGATGTGGTCATGAAGCCCTCAAGGGCAAGCTTTAAACATGGCTCCATCTTTTTCTTCCTCTTCTTCTTTGAAGCTCTAGAGAGAGTGTGTGTAGATCTTCTTGTTTTCTTGGTGCCTCCACTTTTCTCTTTCTTCTCAAAAACCTAATCTCTAACTTTTCTAGAGAGAGAAAAGTAAGGAAAATATAAAAATTACAATGTAAAATATGAATCCCCTTACAAAAATTGTTCAATCCCTCATTTATACAAGGCTTTTTTAGCCCAAATAGGTCAGAACTCGGCCTAAGGATCTCCCCTTTTATGCACAGCCCGAGTTGGTTCCAAATGAGCTTTACACTTGTTTTTTTATAGCTTCAGCGACAAGTTCGATCGATCCAACCAACAGTGTGATTAATCACACATCAATTGGAATTATCGATCGATCTAAGCTCAGTTTTGATCGATCCAAGCTGGAACCATCGATGGTTCCAACCTGGAACCATCAAATAGGATATTTTCAGCTTCAGCCTCCTTTTCCTCCAACTTCTCACCAAAACTCAGTTTGACTCCAAAAAGGCCTTAATGGACCAAAATTAGCCCATTTGAACCTTTTAACCTAAAATAGACAAAAACACAAATTAGAACTAAAATGGGAAAGTAAGATAGATAAAATGACTAAAATACCCTAACTTAGCTGCTAAAATGAGCAACATTTGAGCATTTATCACACAACTCATTTACTTCTTGTAGTTTTCAATGAGATAGTTATGTAATTATTTTTCACTGAATATAATATTAGGGAGTTGATGGATTATGCTTAGAAAAGATAGACCATACTGCACCCTAGAGTAGAGTAGTTAGGTAGATGGTTTATGCTAATCGAAGAAAGTCGATGTCTATCTTTAATTTTATATTATCTTTTAGCTGAATTAATATGTGCTTGTAGCCATGATTAATTTTTTATGCATGTTCATATCTCTCCAATAAATTGATGCAATTGACTGGTGGTGCGACGTTAGTGGTGAAATCGTGTCTCTAGTCTTTTCTCTCTTATTTTCTCCATCTAATTTAATTATTGATTTTTATTTAATTTTCTACTTAGTTCATTTAGATTAAATCATCAAAACTTGTTTTTCCTATTTCAAGTTAATTTCGAATTTAAGAAATCTATTAATAAATTCATTAATACAAGCCTTTTGGGTACGACACCCTTACAAGAAGCCCAATTTGCAAAAATTCGTGTGCTTGCGAGTGGTTACATCTAAGTTTTACAACAAGTTTTTGGTGTGGTTGTCGGGGCCTTGTTTTAGTTCTTAAAGGACCAAATTAAGTTCTACAATAATTTCAATTGGGATCTTAGTTTTGGATTTTTTTTTATTTTGTTTTCTTTTAATTGTTATAGGTGACAATATATACTTGGAAGACGTTCTTTGTTACTCCCTAGGCTTCCATTAGACAAAGGACTTTCAGACACTTAAAGAAAGATTCTGGAAGACTGGAAAAAGGCTGAGATGGCGGGTGATAGGGAGAACAACAGGAGGTACAAGTCATAGGAGCAGTTCGTCGTTTAATGGATCACTATGAACCGGGTGTATATAACTCTATCTGCAGTTCAGTATCCTACTGTGAGGGCCCAACACTATGAAATTTAGGCCAGTACTCTTCAGTTAATGCCTTCTTTTTACGGCCTATCAAAAGAAGATCTGTACCGGCACTTGGATGACTTTGCAGAGGTGTGTAGAACAATAAAGATCCAGAACTTTGACGATGATGTACTCAAGCTACAATTCTTCTTCTTTTCATTGAAGGACAAGGCGAAGGACTAGTTTAATTCCCTACCAGCGAACTCCTTCACTACATAGGCTGAGATGAGAAAGAAGCTTTTGAACAAGTATTTCCCCATGGTAAGAACTACTCAGTATCAAGATGTCATTACACGTTTTGCTTAAGGACCTGAGGAGCCTTTTCATGAGGCTTGGGACAGATTCAAAGATTTTCTCTAGAAGTGTCTTCATCATGACATACCAAAATGGCAGCTGGTCAACTTCTTTCATAAGGGGCTCAATAAGGCACAAAGGTATATAGTGGATGCATCATATGATGGAAATTTTATGTCGAAGATTGCAAAGGAGGCATGACAACTTTTTGAAAATATATCCAATAATTATACACAACATATCTTACCTCTTAAGTAAGACCACCTACCATCTTGAAAAGAATGGAAGACGTGAATGAAGCAGGAGTGAATTAAGGGCTAGTGATCCAGGTAGAGGCATTGACTAAGAAAGTTGAACAATTGATTGCTTCTCAGTCCAATTTTACTCCTTATACAACTGATGCTCAAGGCTTTAAGGTGTGCTCTTTCTGTTCCAGTCGACTTATCATGCGTGTATGTGTCCAAGTGTAGCTTAATTTGCAGAAATTCCACAAGAGCAAGTTAATGCGGCCTATGTAAGGCTCAGAGGCAATGTGTTTTCAAACACTTACCATCCGGCCTTTATAAACCATCCTAACTTCTCATGAAGAAGTCCAGTTATGGGAACATTAGCTAATCCTCCTCAAGTACCTCAGATACAAAGAAATTTTCAACCTTAAGTTCAGAATTCAAATCCTCCAGGGTTCACCCCTATGCATGCCTATAGTTAACCTTAACAATTCCTACCAATGATTGAGGCAATGCTAGCAAAGCAGTTAGAGCCAATTATTCAGCTTGTGCAATCTCATTCTCAATCTTTTACCAAGTTAGAAACTCAAATTGGTCAACTAGCTCAAGCCTTGAATTGAAGAGAGAAGGGCAAGCTTCCTAGTCAACGAATGGCTATTCCAAGAGGAGTGCGGGTAATTTATGATACTACTGGGCAAGAAGTTCACCATGAACTATTAAACCAAGTGGGGGGTGAATTGGTTAAAACCTTTGCCTGAATTAAAGCTTTTAAAACACAATAGCAATTACATAAAGATCAATGCAACAAGGATTATAAGGAAACCCTCTCAACTAGGGAAAACCTTAGTTCTTGGCGTCAGCCAATAAATCATCCACTAGTAGCTGTATGTATCTTGTTACACATTTAGCTGTCTCACTCTCTACACACACCCAAGTACAAGAATAAACATTAGTTTTCACAACCCATACACACACTAGTTCATCACAGTGCACACAAGCACTCCCCCTGTCCTGAGTAACCCAGCTTGGACCAAATAAGCTCTCACAGCTCACCACACACACCGTTACAGATGTAAAACAATATAAAGAAGTCTTCTCTACAATTGAAATAGGTTAGACAGCTCAAAACTCCAAGTTACTACCTCAAAACGACAATCTGCTGCAATTAGTGTTTGAGGGGTAAATGATGCGAACAAATGTGTACCACTTAAAAATACCACTTATAACAATAGCACATTCATCATTGCAGATTAATGCTATAGTAGGGGGTTGTCGAACCACAAGGATTGCTAGTTTATAGCAAACAGAATTATAAAATTACGTCCTAATTTGATAACAGAGATGATAAGTCGATTGGTTTGTCACTTAACCTACAAATTTAAGAATTTAAATTTCATAAAAAAGTAAATGATGTGATTAAAATGGATTGAACTTATAAAGAGAAGGCTAGGGAATTGACTTCACCTCAACCTCATAAACATGTTAAATTGCACTCAACTTGGGGATAGACAATTATATATATAAAATGATGTGTAGGAGCATAAAACTACCACAAACATCGTCAAGAAGATCATACATTTCATGACTAAGCATAACCTATCTTTGGTTAGCATGGCTCATCCACTTAAGCTAGGGTGTGGTATGAACCATCTTCCCTAGGCATGACTTATCCTTCAATGGTATGTTGCAGAACATGAAATCAATTAAATATCATAAATTATCTTCAGTTAGTGTGGACCATTTACCTAACTACATTAATCTAAAGGTGTAACATGGCCCATCTTCCTTAAGCATAACCTATATAAATACCCAATTACATGCCAATATAACCATTCCATAAATTCTTTCCCATTGTCACTATAGGAATCAAGTGTATACTTGTGTCAATGTGGTTTCTAAGATAAGATAACAAATCAACACAAATATATATTCAATTGATAATCACATACATCAATTCAATGTAAAAACTTTTAATTTATGAAACTGAATATATACAATAAAAATCCCCAATTTGAAACACAAATCAATACATGTTTACTTGGTCTAGGTTACATCAACTCCCTAAAAAGGGAGTTAGCCTTTCATGGACATGGCAGCAACCTCCAGGATTAAAGAAGAGAAGAAAATCCTCTCTCTCACCACTGTTGCAAAGCTTAGCCTCCAAGAACCCTAAAAATCCTCTCCCTCACAATATCTTTTCAAAAACCAAAAACTCCTTTTTTCGATACAAGCCTTTTCCTTTCCTTTATCTTTACATGAGTTTCCAAATAAAATAATACGTTCAAAATTTGAATTTCTGCTCATGATAGGATAAAATCGGGTTTAATTAAAAAAGAGGCATGTAGCCGTGCGTTCGAATGCACAGAATGGCGTCTGGACGTAAAGTCCTGGCAGTGTGGCGTCCGGACACCATTCTTCCATCTAGACGCAAGGTGCTGAGAAGTGGCATCCGAACGCCAATTCTTGCGTCCGGACGCGAGGCTGCTTCTTTGACTTGGTCTTCTCTCTTTAGCTTTGATTGCATCCATCGTCTACTTAGGTCATTTCTCCTTAAAAACCACTTGATATGTAGGTTCGTTATGACTTGTGCTCCAAAAACCCTTACAACTTTATTCTTATTCCTTTTTAGCAATTAGACTTGCAAAAACATAAAAACATAAAAATGTAGTTAATCTATATACAAAGATCAAGAAATAGACTTAACTAATGTAATTAAGGGTACTTAAATATGCAATATTTGATGCTTATTAGACCCCCAAACTTACATTTTGCTAGTCCCTTAGCAAAACAAAATTGAAACACAGACTTCTCCTCTTTCGTGGAACTGACGATTGCATTTAGCATATGCAACAAGCCTTTTAAACTCTAAGTATCCTTAGAGGACGAGTGAAGTCTCGTGAGGGTTTACTAGAAATGATACCCACAAACACTAAGTAACAAGGCTCATTCTAGTGTAAATTGAAATATATGACTTTGGTGAAAAACTCTATCATGAAGACTACAGCAAGTATGCATACAATGATATCTCAAACCAACATTCAATTCCCAGCATTCATGCATCAACAAAATAATCCACATACATGATCTTCAACGTCTCATTTATAATAGAATTTCATCTCAAGATCTTTAGAAGTGAATCGGAATTTAATTTTCATTTAAAATGCACTTCTAACCCCTTTTATGACCCATTTAAAGTCTTCCACATCCTTAACTCATCTTTTAAAATCATAATATTTGAACACATTTTGTGTTGTTGTTGTTTTTTTTTTTTTTTTTTTTTTTTTTTTTTAAATGCATGACCATGTGCAATGTCCAAGTTCCTTAAGCTCTCTAATCACCCCATGTTACAAGCATTGAGCCAACGACTCCCAAACTAGATGGTCTTAGGGCGTTAAGTGTAAAGACACTCCTAAGGGCGTAATAACTTGGAATGGCTAGGCTACGAACTCAAACTAATCATACATCTTACATTCTTTCCTTGTCTCCTTTTTAATCAGTTGACATGTTGAAAGAATATAGTTTTATTAATGCCAATGATTATTTCATTCATCCGACTTACTAATTCAGGAAGCCAATTAAATAAAACCACAAGGAAGGGAATGCAATTTCCAATGTGCTCAATGTGCATTGTGAAGTCACTTAGAGATGAAAGACTCCAAAATAAAATATTTAAATCATGTAATGGACCTTTCTCATTTAAACAATCATGCTAACAACTTTCAATCATTCCTCGATATCCTATATAGGCGTACAAGGTGTATTAATCACATAGATCCCCCCCCCCCCAAACTTAGTTCCAATAACACTAAAAATCATTCGCCTAACATTTTTTTTTTTTTTTTTTTAACGAAGCAACAAACAAAATTAATCATATCTGTACATAATTCAACCATATCTAACAATGACAATACACTTGTAAATAACAACTCTCAACACCCCCAAACTTACATTATACATTGTCCTCAATGTATGAAAACATGTATATAAAAATTAAACATTCAAGGAAGTTTAAAAAGGAGAGAAACTACTGAGTGCGAAATATGAACTTCAGTGCAACCAGCCTTAGTCAGAAAGCTAAACTTTTCTCCCCCCAAACTTAGCCCTGATAATCTGTTCACAAAAACTGGGGACCAAGCATAAAAGCATAGACATATAAAGATATAAATATAAAGTAATATGTCATACTTTATTCAAAACCGGGAAAGAAAACCAAAATATGTGCACATCAAAAAGTGCACCCATAATTGTTATGCCAAACATGGCCCAAATCCTAGAATTATTCAAAGCACACAAACCAGAAATTGCTATGCCAAACATGGCCCAAATCATTTCGTGACTTCACCATTGCAGGCAGTAAGTTGTTCCTTCTTATCTTTTAAATTATAAACTTTCTTTGAAGTCGCCCATTGCTTATTACATGGAATCACAAATCCTTAGTCCTTAATCATCTTTGTGATTAAATAGGGAAAGGGGAAGGACTAAGTCAAAGAGCTTTCCTTTTTGCGAACAATTAATTTGTTATAAACCTTTAGAATTTGATTCATAATCAAAGTGGGAACAGAAAACCAAAGGTCATTCTCTGCCGAAAATAGACAATCCAAAAGGACACTGTTATTTTCAGTAGGCTTTCCGATTGGAAGAACATTCGTGGCCTGTAGAACTTCAATAAACCAAATCCTGGGTGGAACAAAAGACCTTTTAGGCAATGTGCTCACTAAGCTTGTGAGATTGTTATGTGCAATTTCTTTTAAAAAATCGGTTAGGTCATCCAATAAGTCAAGTATATCCGGGAGGGGAGTATAGGGAGGGTGACCATCTACATCAACTGGGGAGTTAATGGGACATCCACATGTAACTGC